GGGGGAAGTTAAATTTTTTTCAGTGAACAGCATGTGAGCATCAGAGCTAGCACAGAAGTGGTGGCAGATGGCATGTCTGTGAGTGCGGGTGGAATACAGAGGAGAGAGTATTCTCTTTAGGCAGCCAACAGACTTCATTACATTAGCTCAAGCCATATTCAGTAACTTGATCTTCGTTTGAATGGTCATGGGAGGTACGTGCAGCTAACATTTGATTTGTGAAGTCTGCAGTCTCCTTGGATTGTTGGAAATGTGTTATAAGAACATATTTGCCTGTGTTATACCAGACTGGAAGCCCATGTAATCTACTGTTCATGGCAGTGAACCATACATAGTGGATAGTTTGCAATTATTTTAACAATACACCTTACAAAGCTTGGTTCGTTGTAGCTTTTTACTGAGCGGATTCTCTAACGAACAGTATGATTGAATCATAGAATGGTTTGGGTTGGAAGGGACTTTAAAGATCATCTAGTTCCAACCCCCCTGCTGCAGGCAGGGACACCCTCTTCTAGACCATGTTGCCCAAAGCCCCATCCAGCCTGGCCTTGAACACTTCCAGGGATGGGGCCTCCACAACCTCTCTGGGCAACCTGTTCCACTGACTCACCACTCTAACAGTGAAGAATTTCTTTCTCACATCTAGTCTAAATCAACCTTCCTTCAGCTTAAACCCATTACCCCTTGTCCTGTCACTACACTCCCTGATAAACAGTCCCTCACCATCTTTCCTGCAGGTACTGGTACCTTCAGGTACTGGTAAGCCGCAATTAGATCTCCCTGGAGCCTTCTCTTCTCCAGGATGAACAACCCCAACTCTCTCAGCCTGTCCTCATAGGAGAGGTGCTCCATCCCTCTGATGAGCTTTGTGGCCCTCCTCTGGACTCTCTCCAACAGCTCCATGTCTCTCCTGTACTGAGGCCCCCAGAGCTGGACGCAGTACTCCAGGTGGGGTCTCACAAGAGCAGAGTAGAGGGGCAGGATCCCCTCCCTTGACCTGCTGGTCACACCTCTTTTGATGCAGCCCAGGACATGGGTGGCTTTCTGGGCTGCAAGCGCACACTGCTGGCTCATGTTGAGCTTCTCGTCAATCAATACCCCCAAGTCCTTCTCCTCAGGGCTGCTTTCAATCCATTCCTTTGCCTTTCTGTCAGTGAATGCTGCCTCTACTAAACTTAATTTTTTTTACTGTATTTGGAGGAATATACAGTATCTTTGAGACTATTATATCGCTATCAATATAGCTGTAGCTGGCCAACAGCTTTCTTGCCCATAAATATGGACTGTATGATCACTTGGCCACCTGATGCCATAATGAAAAAAAAAAGCTTAAGATGATAGAGACCTGAAAGTTCCTTTTTTGGTCATTCTGAGGCCTGCTTTCCTTTCTGAAGGAAAATTGTGCTGTTGAGTTTGAGGTAGATATGGTTATTTGTCTACATCCATCTTCACAATCTAATCTAAATTCTAGATATAGGTAGAAATACTTGTTCAATTTGGGCATGCTTATGTCCTTTCTATAATTATTTCATGTTTACTTACATTTAAGTGTTCTTATGTTTAAATACTAAACCTATTTGGGGAAAAAAATTACCACATATTCTATTGTTCTGAGACTTCATTCACTGCTGTTGCATAAATGAGGGAGAACACATGTTACTAGGCAGCTGTTGGTTTGTTGTAGTAACATAATGTCTCTTATCAGCTGTGCTGTTGAAAGGCATTATGTAAATATTAAAAAACCTGCAACTGAAATTCAGTGCCTGTTGCTAGTGATGGTTATCTTAGTTAAAGCTGACAGATTAATACCTTGCATTTGAATCAGCTAGCTTGGCTAGTGTCTTTTTTGCAAAAATGATTATAGAAACAAAGCATTTTGCATTTGTTATTTTTTTTAAATAGCTTAGGATATAGAATATTTATGTATAAAATAGATGTGTGTGTGTTTGTCATGGTTTAACCCCAGTGGGTAACTAAGCACCACGCAGCTGCTTGCTCACCTCTCCCTGCCCCCTCGCCAAAGGTGATGGGGAGGAGAATGGAAAAAACCCCAAACTCATAGGTTGAGATAAAGACAGTTTAATAGCATAACAAAGGAAGAGAATAATAATAATGCATATAAAACAAGTGATGCACAAATGCAATTGCTCACCACGTGATATGAAAACAACCTGATGCCCAGTCTGTTTCTGAGCGGCGATTTCACCTCCCAGCTTGCTTCCCCAGTTACATATGGAGCATGACATTCTATGTCTGGCCAGTCCGGGTCAGCTGTCCTGGCTGTGCTCTCCCAGCTTCTTGTGCACCTGGCAGGGCCTGGGAAGCTAAAAAGTCCCTGACTTGGTGTAAACGCTGCAACTACCCAGCAACAACTAAAATATCAGTGTGTTATCAACATTATTCTCATCCTAAATCCAAAATCCAACACTATACTGGCTGCTAGAAAGAAAATTAACTTTATCTCAGCTGAAACCGGGACAGTTTTAAAGAACTTATTGCCAAATAATTCTCACAGGAGACCAGTCACAAGGTATTTCTGTCCTCTGTAAAAACAATTTGATGTGAAAACAATATCAATTACTCCTCTTAGTTTAAGCTTTTAGAAATAATTTGTATTGAATGCTTATGTTTTTTTAACTTTTGTAGTATTTGATATTTCTTACTAGAGCCTAAAAAAAGTGAAATCTGGAGAATTTAATTTTGAACTAATAGTTTTTTGTGGATATATCCAGAAATTAAAAAAAAAAAAATCAAAGATATAGAAAATGCAAATTGTTCAGTTTTTAAAAATCTGATTTCATAGTGTTGAGGGTGTTGTAGCTTTTGACTGTTTGAATATGCTGTACCATTCTTCAGAAAAGGTTTTAAATTTAAGAACCTTGGGATTTCTTCTGTGGAGTTGAGGACCTCTGCATAGTGAAATAGCTTACACACGTGGTTTGCCTATTCAATGACATCTTGTAACCCTTTTTCAACGTAGTCATGGACACAGAGGGGTCTGTTCACCACAGATGGAAAATGTGTCTTAGAGCATTGTGGGGAGATCCTGCTGGGTCTGTGATTCCCCTGCAGTAGAATCTAATCTTACTGAAGGCACTGTGATGGTAGTTGCCTGGTGTTACTTTACTGATTGTTAAACGTTTTGCTGAACCACATAAAAAAATAACACCTTGGAAGAAACACCTGGAGAAAAGCTGACTTCTACGCTCCCCACTATCAGCTTTTTCCTAGAAGAAAAATGGGGAAGGCAGTTAGAGACAGTTTACCCTGCTG